AGAAGGGAGGGGTGGGGGGAAGGTGTTTGATGATTTAGTTTTTATTTCTCATTATCCTACTCTGATTTGATTGCTAATAAATTAAGCTAATTTCCCCAAGTTGAGCATGTTTAGCCTGTGATGGTAATTGGTGAGTGATCTCTCCCTGTCCTTATCTCGACCCAGGAGTTTTTCGTTGCATTTTCTCTTCCCTGTTCAGCTGAGGAGGGCAGTGATAGAGCGGCTTTGGTGGGCACCTCGCCTCTAGCACAGAGGCCTCCTTAATACGGTCAGGAAAATCAATAGCAAGCAATCACTGGGATACTCAACTTTCTACTAATTCAAGATCGATAAGTTGTAAGAAAAACAATAATGTGTCTACATACCTTCTACCACTTGCTTTTCTTCTTCCTCTTTAATTTGGTTAGCTACTTTCTCCAGTTCTGCTTGTAGCTGAGTTGAAGATGTATGAGCACGTGCAAATTCATTAAGGGTCTGCCATGCACTCTTCAAAGAGCTAATAAAACCCTGTTTCAGATCAGATCCCATACGAGATAGAGAGTCTTTCAACTCTAAGGAAAGGGGGGGAAAAAAAATCACCATAGAAGGTTTTAAAATTATAAACTAAAACCAGAATGATGAAACCTTCCTCAACAAACATTCCAATTATTAGGAGGAACAGGTCTGCTATGTCATGAACATGTTTCTTGCTTCTATATTCCATTCAAAAAGATTAGGTGAAATGTAATGAATACACAATTGATTTCTCACTGAATTGGTTAATGAGTTAAAATCTACTAGCACAGGAAACAGTCCAACAGCCTCCAAATCCAGAAGGGTCTGCAAAAATAGCTACACCAGTCAATCCCTCACCACCACCCACAATCACTCCTAACATCCTACACTAAAAGAAAAGTATAGAGAGACTAGTTTCAAACTCCAGCACAGCAGAAGAGACCAGAAGAGCTGCCAATGTCTCTTGCAGTAGTAGTGAATTTGGAGTAGCACTACCAGACAACTCTAGCCTGTAATTCTGCTACAGCTCAGTAATTGTGTCACCAGTATCCAAGCTGCCATTCAGTACTGGTGGTAAACTCTGAATGAAGGAGAGCTCTTCACAGCAACTGGTTAGAATCACATGGGCCTGCTAGATCAGGGCTCACCACTATTTCATGGAACACTCACCTACATCAAAGAAAAAATAGTAAGGAGCAACGGACCATGTTTTTCTCCTTTCACACTTTTTGAGAGTTGTAACCTAAAACAGTCCTTAACAAGTACCTTGTCCAGTCTAGGAAAGCAGACTCATTCTAATGTACCATTCTAAAGTATAGATGCTTCAGAACTTCTCCAAGTGCCTGAAGACAGGCTTTCAGGAGGGTCTGTGAATGTGTACAACAGTAATATTCTCTACTGTACTGCAAAACTGACTTTCTTTATTAGCTAAGCAAAATTTAACTACAGCACCTTGATCTGATGTTTATTTGTGGGCAACAAAATCTAGTCCCTGCGCACCAATGGCTATGGAACTATCTTTTTCCTCAACATTTTCAATACTGAACAGACACTGGTTAAATGCTTCATGGTGGTCATTAGGGACAAGCTAAAAGTAACCAGTGATTTTAGTTTCTGTTTCACATCGTATTAGAAATTAACATGAACAAGTGATGTACAGCAATTTTAAAATGGAAGCTCAAATCTGGAGGAATTACAATTACTACATCTGAATGCAACTGTGAATGCCCAACTTACGGGGCTGGAAGGAATCCCCTCTGACATTGAGGAAAAACTGCATCAAATGAGTAAATTAGGAATGAGATCCATATATAAAATTTTTTTTTACCCAGATGAAGTCTTTTTCTGCCTTTATGATGTGGAATGAGAACTGGTTTTAAATCCATGTCTTCAATGATCATTGGTTCTAACCTGTAAGCTACTGGATCAAGCTGTTAAGAAATAACACATTGACATTTGGTTATCTTAGAAATTATTCTAATTATCACATTTCAGTGAAAAAAAATCCCTATTTATGATTAATAGAGAACCATTTTTGAATTCTGGTCTATTTCAATTTACAGAAACTCAGTTCATGACCATTTAGTTTAATCATAAGATTAAGCAGCTTCATTAATTAATTAGGTCTTCTTCTCCTACAGAGATTCTAAAGAGGAAACACAACAGTGAAAGAGTAGCAAAATTTTCTTGCACTCTGATGATCTCTACCAAAATGTCACTGTTTAATTGTTAAACAAGATGGGACAGAAGAGGACAAATGTACTGCATGCAGTGCGAAACCTCTAAGGATTTCTAAATTTCCCACAATCTAAACTGGAAACTCACAAAAGTCCTGTAAATGGTTCAAATACAAACACCTCATAAAAATCTATCAGAGTGGCTTGAAATTAATGACATTTAAAAAAAAAGAAAGAAAAAAGTTCTTTAAACTCTGAAAGTGAACAGGGCAAATATTATCAAGTCAACCCATACCTAGAACGCTAAGTATGGAACCTATAGCCAAGCTCTACTTCACTTTTGCAGTAAAGACCACAAATACTTGAAATACGTATTTCCGTTGGGTCATTTTTTTTTAAAAAGGGTGTTTTGGGAAATGTGCATAGGAGAACAGGAGGTGTAATGCTCAGAGGTTAAAACTCAGTATTTTGCTTTGTTGTCATCTGCACCAACTAAAATCAAGTCCAAAACTACTGCTTACTCACTGGATGATAGATATTGAAGAATCCCTTGCAGGTAGGAAGTCTGTAGTTTTCATCAATCTTCTCCACACCTCTCATAGTAAGGAACACACCAATAGGAGAACCGAGAGCAAAGAAAATATCTGGTTCAAAGTCCAACGCACTATAAACCACAGAAACCTATCAAACAGAAATTAGATATATAATCTCACAGAACAGCCAGCTAGTTAATATAATACTTAGCTAGGAAGGAAAAACAAGTTGTGTATTAAATCCACCACATGCTCACAGTAATTCCAGGAAGCTTTCGCTGCATTGCACTCTTCCATACTAATACCATAGTGCTAGTACATATTAGTACTATAATATTAAAACTTTTTCTTTTTAAGAAAAAATTCAAAAGTACAAAAAAATTTAAAAAAAAATCTTTAAAACAGGAAGTCTTCAAGGTTTGGTTTTTAAGTTATATTTAACTTAAGTTAGATAAACTTAACAGCATAAATGGATTAATTAACTGTTAACTGTAAAGCCACAGAACCATACAGTATTATGTAATTCACACAGTTCCGCTTCTGGAACAGAAGCATGTTTACAACTCACTCACTGCTGAAATAAAAAATGACCTGTAGTGGCATCCCTGTTAAAGTAAGTTTTGCTTTTGAGTAATCTAACCTACTGTCTCAGCCCTCCCTCCCACCAAAGGGTAAAGCCCTACGTAAACATAACTGGTGTACAACAATCAAGGGAAGCAGCATCAAATCATCAATATTAAAAAAAAAAAACAAACAAACAAAACCAAAAAACCAACAACAAGCAAAAGGACAGCACTGTTCCAAATGAACCATTTAAATCTATGTAGTCTCACCTGGCCAGTTCCAACTTCGAAATACTCATAGTCAACATTCACAGAAGAAACAGATGCACCAACTGGAAGCTTCCTCTTTGAATGCAGCTGACCAGGCTCTGAAGGGGAGACAGAATTAACTGCCTCTTTTGCTTTCTGGGCATCTTCTTGAGTTTGGAGCGTGGCAGCCAGCACTGTTTTCTTTTCTGCTACTGTTTTCTTTTGATCCTTTTGAGAAAAGTTTCAAAATTAGGAAAAAAAAAAGTTTATTTCATGGCTGTCAAAATTCCTTTAATATATCCATGATGTTAACAAGTGTGTTAAAGAACCGAAGTTACTCCACAGCAAGGAAGTCAGTTACATTTGCTTAACAACTTTTTAATTCATTCCTGAAAAATGTATTTACCTGTTTGGCTGCTCTGTCTTTTACAAAATTAGCTATTTTCTTTCTTGGTCCAAGAGGTATCCCCATTTCCTTCAGGTCATCAACTGTACACATGAGCTGAAAAAAAAAAACCAAACACTCAACAACAAAACACACATACATCAAAGCATACTTCATAACTTTTCTAGTAATATATATAATTTCTTATTGGTAATGACTTATGAATTAGATAAGACATTTTATAAAGCTACAGAAATAACAAAAAATTAAGATGACATGATAAAAAAGTGCCCTAACATAACTAAGGGAGAGACACCACACAAAGAAAAAGAGAGAGTCACGTAACATTTAGTCTTCATATCACGCATTAACTATCTTATTTTTGCAACTACTTTCATGCCTCATGGTACACTAAACTCAAAGGAAAAAAAAAAGGAAAAAAAAACCCAACGAACCAACCAACCAAACCCTCAAACATAAACCTCCATATCCTGGGCAATCCCCATAAATCAAGTGAACATTATTGTACCAGAGACTCCATGTCAATTCGCTCTTTTTCAAATGTGCTTGCATACTCCGACAAACTAAGCATTTCCAGAGTCTTCTGCAAAGTAGGAACATCATCATCTACGTCAGGCTCACAAAGGTCATCACCAGAAGTAGTAATCGAGGAGCCCAAGGAACTGGTATCTTCAGTCATCTTAACAAAACAGTGCAGAAACAGAATCACATTTAACAGTCAAAAATCAATATGCAGCAAGTAAAAATGAGTTTAATTAGTTTCTCTAACAAATATTATTATGTAAGCTTTGTAAATTTATGTCCATTTTTAGTAAAGCAAGATGCAGATTTTCCACTAATAATAGAACAGCTAAATACATATTCAAAAATTATTAAGGCAAAAGGTCTCTTGAGCTTTCTGACACTCAAAAATATGTCCTATCAACCATCAAACAACTGGTCACTGTTTCTAGTCTGAACATAGATAGATTCTTTCCCTCTTACGCATCTCCCCTATCATTCAGATACTGTTAAGGCCAAGTTACGTGTCCACATGGGTCAAAGCTGATGTTCATGATCAAATCCCATTGCTGACCTACTTCAAACTTGAGAAAGATGCTAACAGTTTGTCCTGAGAATTGACAATATTTACAAAACTGCACATTTCCATTAACACGTTAAAATGTACCATCAGAACCCACACCTGTGTTTCAGCTAATAAATTCTGAAAACTTAAGAAAAAGTTGCTGAAAATACCAGATCTATCTGCCTGGAAAGACTAGCATGGAAATTACCTGTTTGTCATGAACAGCCATGTCCTTTACAGTCCCATTAACACCAGAGAATGGTCCAGTATTTACTGATGAAGCCAAGTCCTTCTGGTTAGACAATATGTCAAACAGAATTAAAGAACCTGGAAAGAGGAATTAAAGTTGCTTTGGGAAAAATGACAGATTTTCCTGTCTCTAAATTGTAAGAAAAATTATTCACAATAGTAACAGGAATGTATAGATTGATCAAAAAAGATGGCTGAAATAAAACTAAAATACCCACATATTATCTTGAACACAGTAATTCTCAGCAAAAAGCAAAAGCTTTTTTTTTTCTCCCCCTCCGTTCATGCTTTAGGTAGTTGCCATAATTAAACTATCTTTCCTTAAGCATCTTGGACTGCTTGGCGACAGCCAACATGGCTTCACTAAGGGCAAATCATGCCTGACAAATTTGGTGGCCTTCTATGACGGGGTTGGTGGGTAAGGGAAGAGCAACTGACGTCATCTACCTGGACTTGTGTAAAGCATTTGACAGTGCCCACACGACATCCTTGTCTCTAAATTGGAGAGATGTGGATTTGACGAATGAACCACTCAGTGGATAAGGAATTGGCTGGATGGTCGCACTCAAAGAGTTGCGGTCAACGGCTCGATGTCCAAGTGGAGACCGGTGACGAGTGCCATTCCTCAGGAGTCGGTATCGGGACCAGCACTGTTTAACACCTTTGTCA